TGATCAGATTCGTATTGTGAGAGACTTTCCGAAGGTATTTTCGGAAGAGTTACCTGTTGTACCACCTAAGAGGAAAGTTGAGTTCAGAGTTGAATTGTATCTGGGCACTGCACTGGTGTCTATGGGTCCTTATCGTATGTCACCTAAGGAATTGAGGGAACTCAAGGTTTAGTTACATGATTTATTGGATCAAGGGTTCATTCAGCCTAGTACCTCTCCATGGGGAGCTCCTGTTCTCTTTATTAAGAAAAAAGATGGGTCATTACACTTGTGTATTAATTATCGAAAGATGAATAAGCTGACGGTTAAGAATAAATACCCGTTGTCGTGCATCAATGATTTGTTTGATCAGTTCCGTGGTGTAACCATTTTCTCCAAGATTGATCTCTAGTCTAGTTATTATAAGCTTAAGGTAAAAGATTATGATGCTCCCAAAAAGACTTTTCGTACTCGATGGGGTCGTTACGAGTTTCTAGTAATGTCATTCGAGTTGACTAATGCTCATGCTGCTTTCATGGATATGATGAACTGGGTTTTCCAACCGTATATGGATCAGTTTCTCGTTGTTTTCATTAATGATATCCTGATTTACTATAAATTTGAGGCTGATCATAACGAGCATCTGAGGGTTGTTTTGCAGACTTTGAAGGAAAAACAACTTTATGCGAAGCTCAATAAGTGTGAATTCTAGCTTAGCGATATAATGTTCTTGGGTCACATTATTTCAGCTAAGGGTATTTATGTGGATCCAAAAAAGATTGAGGCTATTCTGAATTGGAAATAATCGAAGAATGTGGTTGAGGTTCATAGTTTTCTGGGCATAGCAAGTTATTACCAGAGGTTCGTAGAGGGGTTTTCTATGATTGCGGCTCATTTGACAAAACTTTTACAGAAAAATATGACATTTTCTTGGGGTGAAGCTTAATAATAGAGTTTTGAACAATTGAAATCTGTTCTGACCCAAGCACCAATTTTGATCCAACCTGAGTCGGGGAAATATTATACAGTTCACAGTGATGCTTCACATACGAATTTGGGTTCTGTTCTGATACAATATTGTAGGGTGTTAGCTTATGTATCTCATAAGTTGAATTCATGTGAGTGTAACTACCCTACATATGATTTGGAGTTAGTTGCAGTGGTCTTTGCGTTGAAGATCTAGATATACTACCTTTATGGTGAAAAGTGTTATATCTACATTGATCACGAAATTCTGAAATATCTGTTGACTCAGAGGGATTTGAATTTGAGACAGCGCCACTGGTTAGAATTTTTAAAAGACTACGGTTTTGAGATTGAGTACTATCCTAGAAAGGCCAATGTAGTTACTGATGCTTTGAGTCGTAGGGCGACTACTTATTTGAGGGCGGTGTTTGCCAGTATGATTTTATATGATGATGGTATTTTGTTAGCTGAGCTCCAGGTTAAGCCTACCTTGGCGTCTGAGATTAAGACGAAACAATGTCTCTATGCATCTCTGTTTCCATTTGTAAAACGGGCTGAGCAAGATTCTGATTTTGAGTACACCTTTGATGATGATGGTGTATTGTGTTCCCCAGGACGTTACTGTATGCCAAACGATCCTCAGTTGTAGAATGCTATTTTATGATAGGCTCATGATAGTCCATATTATATGCATCCCGGTGGTGTTAAGATGTATCAGAATCTCAGAAAAAGGTACTATTGGTATGGTTTAAAAAGATATGTCATCGAGTATGTGGCTAAGTGTCTGACATGTCAGTAAGTGAAAGCTGAGCATCAGTTTTCTTCTGGTTTACTCCAACCCATTTAGTTTCCTGAGTGGAAATGAGAGAAGGTAACTATGGATTTTGTCGGTGGATTGCCTTTGATGCAGTCCAAGAAGGATTCAATGTGGGTTATCGTTGATCGTCTCACCAAATCTGCCCACTTCATTTCGGTTCGAACTAACTATACTCTGGACAAATTGGCTCATTTGTGTATTTTTGAGATTGTTCGTCTCCGTAGGGTTCCCTTGTCTATTATTTCTGACCGAGATCCGAGGTTTACTTCACATTTCTGGAAGGCTCTTCATGATGCTCTAGGTACGCGATTGAACTTCAATACAACTTATCATCTGCAGTCTGATGATCAATCTGAGCGAGTTATTCAGATTTTGGAAGATATGTTGAGAGGGTGTATTATTGATTTCTGGGGCAGTTAGGAGGATCACTTGCCATTGGCTGAGTTTACTTACAATAATAGTTATCAGACCAATATTCAGATGGCATCGTATGCGGCTTTGTATGGTCATAGGTGTCATACTCCGTTGTGTTAGACTGAGTTATTAGAGAGGATAGTGGTGGGACCTGATCTTACTCACGAGAATGAGAGTACAGTTAGAGTGATCTAAGACATACTTAAGGTTGCTTTTGATAGGCAGAAGTCTTATGCTGATTTGAAGAGACGAGATATTGAGTTCAGTGAAGGTGATCAAGTCTTTCTGAAAGTGTCTCCGTGGTAGAAGGTTCTCAGGTTTGGCCATAAAGGCTAGTTGAGTATAAGGTTCATTGGACCATACTAGATTCTGCGTCGATTTGGTTACGTTGCTTACCAACTTAAGTTACCACCTGAGCATGAGCGTATCCATGATTTTTTCCATGTCTCTATGTAGAGGATATCGATTTGAGATCTGATTTGAGTTATGAAGAGGAGCATATTCAGATTCTTGCCTATGAGGATCGAGTTTTGAGACGTCTATGCATACCGATAGTTAAGCTTCTGTAGAGTAACCGTAGTCTTTCATAGGTCACCTGAGAGACTTGAAGGTCGATGGTGGAGCAATTTCCATATCTTTTTCCGCTAGGTATAATTTCAAGGCCGAAATTTTCTTAAGGGGGAGAGTTGTCACACCCTAGTTATTAGGGGCTAAATCGAAAGGTTTAAAAAAAATAATAATGCTCAAGCATTAATTTCTGAAAGATCAGGGACTTAGGGCATAATTTGCCCATGGTTGGGTTTAAAACCTAAATTCCATTCATTTCCCTATTTTCTGCAAAAACCAATTCCCCCAAACAGTTTTATTTTCTCTCTTAAGTGTCATTGTGTTTTCCTTTTGATTGGTCTCCGTTACGACCACTGTGACTCTCACCGTCGGCGTCATTGTGTCCGTCTCGTCATCGTCGTTCGCCCAGTACCCTTGGTTTATCATTTTTTGTTGTCGTTAGCGTTGGGTGAGGGAGTTTAGTTTTGTGTTTTCAAAGAAATTCAATCTCTTCGCTCCCCATTGTGAACCGATCCCGGTAAGTTGTTCCCCGTGCTTTAAATATTTTTTTTGGAAATTTTGGTGTGAAAACCTCCGTTGGACAGCGTTTCATGCATCTACACACTTTGCCATGTGTGTGTGGGAATGTTCTGGCAATTCGAATTGTCCAACCCGTTGATCGACCCGACCCACTGACTGATTTGACTTGTTGACTGACCCGACCCATTGATCGAATCAACCCGTTGACTACTGACTTTGACTGAAAACCCCTATCTTTATGTCTTTCGACATCCTGAGCCCGTTTTTGCAGCCTGTTTTGCCAAATTCTAACCCAAAAGCCCTATTTTATGCCTTTTTCATTTAATGTCTTAAATTTGTTAAGTAAATTGTGAGGTTTTGAACTCAGTTTTGGGTCTAATTTTCTGAAGGTACCCTCACGTCTCCGGATCACTCTCCAGAAGACCCTGATCAGTCCTGACCTACTCAATTCAATTTTGGTTTCTCGTCTCGAGATTCACGTAAGTACTAAACAAGTGACTTTTTAGTATATTTTTGTTTAGTTATTGGAATTCGTATTCATGGAAGGTTATTATTTTAGGTTCCCGTTTCGCATGACCTAGTACTTCTGATTGTGGGAAGCGTAAGACTTAGCTGATATCGGATATTTTCTATAAGTGTGTTCTCCAGACATGTTCAATACTCTTTGGTACTGTGCTATGTATTATATGTTGATGTCTGAATGTATGTTCATAATCTGATTCCATTTATGTGTGACGTTTCTAATTTTTGTATAACATGACATCATTCATGATCTACTCATTGATGCATTCTTGACATTGCATGTGACTTCGTTCCCCATCATGATTTTGCATGGGATTTCATTCCCTGTCCCGATTCTGCATGGGACTTCGTTCCTTATCCTGATTTTGCATGAGACTTCGTTCTCTGTCCTGATTTTGTATTGGACCTTGTTCCTCGTCCCGATTCTGCATAGGACCTTGTTCCCCGTCTCGATTCTACATGGGACTTCGTTCCCCGTCCTGATTCTGCATGGGTACCTCTTCAGAGGGTAATGTTATAGGGATTGATGTTGTACTCTTAAAACTTACACCTAAATTATTGTTGCATATTAATTGTGCTATATTTACTTTACTTTAGATGACACATTGGGCTTCGTAGCTCAGTTTTTAGTTTATGTCTTTTCAGATCGTTCAGACCCTTAGGAGTACGACCGATACTTGGAGGATCGTTAATAACTTGTTTTACTATCATTCAACGTATGGACATTTCGAGACTTTTTATCTGATTTCCGTTGATGTTATGTTTATTTATGGGAATTGGGGATGTTTTATCGATTTATTTGCTCTGAATTTTAAACTCGTAGCACACTGGTTATATTTTGAACCCTTATGTCTATTTATGGATTTTCTTGATTTACCGCTTATGCTTGTTTAAATTTGTAATTCTCTTAATTTCTGTTCAATTGAAACTTTGTTGTGGGCTCCAAAATTCGATCGTAACATCCAGGCCGGGTCTAGGAAGTTACATAATTACTCTAACTTTCAAATGTATTTTTTTATTTTAATTATATCTTAATAAAATAATAAAAAATATCATGTCACAAAAAAATATTAATAAAATTAATTAGAATTATTAAAACATGAGCACTTTAAAAGTTGAGCAATTGTTTGAAATAAATAAAAATTTAGATACTAAAACGAAATAAAACTGATAGTTTAGGTCTAAACATGTAGTTTAAGCTAAAAATTAACACCTTCAAATCCTTCAGATCCACCACTACTACTGTCATTAAATCCACTGTCACCAGGAGCACCTTAGAGACTCATTTCCATATAAATTGGGCAATGCAAACAAAAAAACAAAAGGAAATGAAAAGAAAATACTGATGGAGAGGCATTGCTATTTGAATTTGCCTACTAATGCTATGATCTCAAAACTTCTCTCTTTTCGTTTTTTGCATTCTTTGTAAGCTGGATCACGTCAAATCCAGGGCAACATGGAATGAGACTGAAATACAAGCATTGCTTGCCGTCGAGGCTCGAGTACTAGTTGATCCTTACAAGGTCTTCATCTCCTGGAACGATTCTATTTCTGCAACTGGCTTGGAGTGACGTGTGGTTGACAGCATCGAAGAGTAACCGCCCTCCATCTATCATCACTCAAGTTGGCAGGTGACCTTTCTCCTTACACAGCCAACCTTACATTCCTTACAGTGATCGATCTCGGGAACAAGAAAACTTCCTTGGTCCAATTCCCCAAGAAGTTACTTGATTGCATCGTATAGAGGTATCGGTTCTTGCCAACAACTCCTTCCAAGCTGAGCTTCCGAGAAACCTTGCTCGTTGTTTGAACATAAAAGCTTAGAAGAAATTAAAAGCTTACTTGTTCCTCAATCTGTTAACAAGTTGAGTTGAAGCCCAATATAAAACATGCACTCGGTCGACGAAATTAAAAGACTATTTGTTCCTCAATCTGTTTCATCATCTGGTTTCCTTACACCAATCACTTGCATCTTCATTCCCTTCATCATATCAAATTAAAAGCCAACTGATATTACATCACCTTAAAGCTCAATAGGTAAAAAAAAAACACGGCTACACGGTGAGGAAAATGAACATTTTGCTTCAGTCACAGCCTTGACTTTTAAGACCAGCAATTCCGTGGGTAACTTCTTTTGTTGTTGGGAAAGAAGATATCACAACCACTCATAATCTGCAAGTACAGTAGAGTATCAAATCTGTCAACGGGTGATCACGAATTCACTAGCTTTAAAAGGAAATACGAAAAATAAATCATTTGATCAAGATGTCATTGGAGAAAAATGCAGCAAGTATTGTGATAAGAGATGATTAAATCTCTACTTACTGCCTGTGACATGAACGCCAATCCTATGAATTAAAATCAAGCAATAAACCAATCAACTGCGGAAAATAATTAAGTATGAATCTTTTAATAATTAGAATTTTGGCATCCACCATGGATTTCTTATGAACTGGAAATGCAGAAACTTTCAATTTTCTCCAGTTATGTTAAACATTTACAATGTAGAACACTATTAAGGTTTCATTTTCTATCATAGGCAGTTAACCTACAAGATATTTACCAACAATGGCAGGGGAAAAACGGTATGGTAATATGAAAAAAAAAATGAAATCCACTTACCTATGCATTTAGATGACATTATTGAGAACTTGTATCTACTCAAAAGCAGGCCCAAGATATAAAGAAATAAACTATTTCAATCTTTTAGACCCTCTACCCCCTTCTTCAATATCATAGCAGAACCGTCTTTTGTTTGTAGCAGAATCAGCATGGACTTTCTCAATATATAATACCTGAACACCACATTTTTGCACTTGGATATCATCTTCTTCACCGCTATCATATTTGATGTAGAATTCAAAAGATGCCTTCTCATAGTCGTCATCTATTATAATCATATCCTCACTAAACAGAATGAACACGTGATCACCGGCCAAGCTCTGGCACTTACGAAAATCTAGCCGGCATTCTTTTCTGAACTGCTCTTTACCGGTGACTCTCAGTTGGTATTTACAGATAAATGCAAGATCTCTGTTTCCACACGTGAGATTGGCCACAAGGCAGATAGCAAAAGCCAAGGCTCTGCTCCCACTACACTCATTCCGGGATATTTCCAAATTTAATGAAGAATTCACGCTTTGATCCACGAAATCATTTGCAGAAATTACATTTCCTGTGAAACAGCAAAACAATTTCTTTTGAAGACAAGATTCCCTTCTCTTTTCCCTCCTTGCACATCTCTGTGCTAGGGATTGAATTTGAAGCATGGCAGTGGTCTCAATGTTTTTAATCGAATCAGGATTCAGGCTTTTGCAATTCGAGAATAACATGAAAACAGTTTCCTTATGAGGAGCATCATCAGTATCACAAAAAACGTTTTCTTTATGATGGCCATCATCACCATCACAAAAAGCATTGGATCGATATAGATTATGATCTGAGAAGGATACTTTTTCTAATAATGTGCATTCACTTGCATCCAAGCACCACAGATATGGTGGAAGCTCTGAAAATGATTCAAGACTTTTGCAATAACCGAGATCCAGTGTATTCAGGGATTTCAACTCTTTAATATTGCTTGATACATTTTTCACCTTTGAGTTCCTCAACCTCAACTTTCTAAGTCCAACCAGATGCTCAATTGAATCAGAGATTTCTTCTATTTCAGTATTTGATAAATCTAACTCAGAAAACTTCTTGAGATTAGAACATCCCTCAAATCGGAGGGTTTTAAGTGATGTCAAATGATTGAGGCAAGGAAGTTCATCCAAACTTTTGCATGACCTACAGTCAAGGATTTTAAGGTTGTTGGCTCCTAATAGATTTGGAATCTTACTTAAATTCTTGCAACCAGAAAGGTCAAGTCTTTCAAGAGATTCCAAATGATCAAGGCAAGGAAGTTCATCCAACCTTTTGCATGACCTACAGTCAAGGATTTTAAGGTTGATGGCTCCCGATAGATTTGGCATCTTCCTTAAATTCTTGCAAAAAAGAAGGTCAATTTTCTTCAAATTAACAAGACCCTGTACAAAGAAAATATAAACACAACTGCGTTACTTTAGAGCATTATCTACTTATTTTGGACTGTATCAAAAATGAAAAGAAAAAAGTAATCATAATAACACCAATAAAAAATTATCCTTAGCATGTTGACCACGTATAAGTTTACCAACCACTAATAGATCACATGCTTCCTGATACATCAATTAAAAGTCCTTTTTCTGAAAGAAAAAAAAAATTCTGGGGGTGAAGAAAGTACGAAAGAATATACCTCATGATCATCGTTCCAAAGTTGTTCCATGTTGCCGTTATGTAATATCAGTACAACGAGATTCTTTGGATTAAAACTTGAGGACAAAGATTTGAAGGGGTATTTATCCCACTTAAGATACCTTAGCTCATTAGGAAGGGATGCAATATCAACTTCGTTTGCAAGTAACTTCTCCTCACCTTCACAGAAGTGGATATATCTAAGATTCGGCATGTTCTCAAAAACAGTAGGAAGTACCTGTAGGTCATCAACTTCAATTTGAGAGATGTCTAACTTTATTCCTTCAATTGATCCACTCCTCTGAAAAATAAAAATCAATTTATCAAGTATTAGTACATATATTAAAAAAAACTAAATTTTATTTTATAAGTACAATTACTACTTTATTATTTCTGAGAACTTGAACCACATCATTAGGACTCCATAACCTCCTGCGCTTTCCAGGGCTTTTTGGTTCTTGGAGAACAATTTCCTTGGCCATCTCTTCAAGCATATCATGCATAGAAATATGTCCAGAAGGTGCGATATCAAGCAGGCACTTGTCGACCAAGTTGCTGCTAATTGCACACACTGCACCCTTATTATAACGACTGCTTAGAATTGCTTCTACATCTTCTCTGAGTTCCCCTTTAAAGAATATTGCAATATCAAGGAAGATATTCTTCTCTAGGTCACCAAGCCCATCAAAGCTTCTCTTCAAAATCTGTGAAATTTTGGACAGGGGAAATTCGTTTAGCCTATCCAGCTCACTTTTCCAATCATGCTTAGACTTTTTATATAGTTGAGAACCTAAAACTTTAAGGGCAAGTGGAGAGCCTTTGGCATATCGTACAAACTTGTTCGATAGATCTTGAAAATCAGCCGCAGGATTCAACCGCTTAAATGCAAATGTAGAAAAAAGCTGAAGAGAGTCCTTCTCATTCAGCTTCTTTACCTCAAGTATTTGGTCAACGTCTCCATTGTGAAGCACTTGTCTGTCTGTCGATGTTACAATGATTTTGCTTCCATCACCAAAATGTTTAACACCCATATCATCTATTTGCTCTGGGTCATTAACATCATCGAGGACAACAATTACTCTCTTATTTTTCAGCCTCTCTTGGATAAACCTGGATCCTATTGAAGGCGTGTCCAAACGAAAGTCTTTTTCGTTTATGAGTTCGAAGAGAAGTTCATTTCGAAAAGATTCCATCCCTCGTTTTTTTATTTTCTCACTAACATTTTGAAGAAAGCAACGACCTTCAAATGATAGAAAGAATTCATTGTATACAGCTTCAGCAAGGGTGGTTTTGCCTATACCAGCCATTCCCCAGAGTCCTATTATACGGCTGTCTTTTTGCTTAATCATATCTGAAATCCTTTCTTTCTGTTTTTCTATCCCAACCAACTCTTTGGAAGCTCTTCTATATGTGATATTCTTCAATTTTGTGTTAACATTGTTAACAATATCCTCGATGTACTCGGTTTCATCTCTGGTATATAATCAAATGTATATATAAGTATATACGAAATCTAAAACAAAGTAAAATATAAGAAGATGAATGTATAATACACACACATATGGTTACCTATCCGATTTGCATCCTTCTATATGCCACCCTTTTAATTTACCGATTTCAGCAAAGGCCTTCTTCCATTGCTGCACTTGATCCAGTCCTGATTCATGATCACCAAAGGATGCCTTAAAACTCCCACCAAGATGCCGCACATGGGAAGGATCAACCTGATAAAAGATGGGAAGAACAATATGTCCATGAGTGTTCTTCCTGTTCATGATATCACAGAGTTCAGCTAAGCATGTTTTTGAAGAAGCATAGTCTTCAGATAGAACAACTATCGAGAGATTTGAGGCTGCAATTGCTTGAGAAAGATCCGGTGAAAGTTGCTCCATCTCTTTCCGTTCTTCATCAAGGAAGACATTTATTCCTTTGTCTCTCAAAGCTTTGAGTAGATGACTGGTGAATCTGGGTAGCGTGTCTGCACCCGAGCTCAAGAAAACTTGATGCTTCACCAACATTTGTATAACATGTTCAAGGATATTCTCAATGTGCTCGGTTTCAGGTCTAGCAAACAATTGATGAAATAAATATGAGATCTAAAACAAAAAGTTAAAAGTCAAATATAAAAAGATGAGAAAAATATAGTTACCTGTCGAGTTTTACATGAATTCCTTCTAATGTACCGACCTGCTCAAAGGCAGCTTTCCATTGCTGCACTTGATCTAGCCCTTTTGATTCATGGTCATCAAAGGATATCTTAAAACTTCCATCAATATTTTGCACATCGGAGAGATTAACATGGTAGAAGATGGGAAGAACAATCTGCCCATGAGTGCGTTTGCGATCCATGATCTCAGACAATTCAGCCAAGCATGACTTCGAAGAGGCATAATCCTTAGATAAAACGATTAATGAGAGCTTTGAGGCTGCAATTTCTTGAGAAAGTGCTGGTAAAAGTTCCTCCCCTTTTTTCAGTTTCTTTTCATCGAAGAAGACAGACATCCCCTTGGCTTCCAAAGCTTTGAGGAGATGAGGGGTGAAGTTAAGGCGCGTGTCTTCACCTCTGAAGCTCAAGAAAACGTGATGATTCATTGGACGAGGAGGAGCAGAAGAAGAAGCCCTGGCCATGAAAGAGTACAGATTGTGCGATTGAGGCAAACTTGGTAATAACAGTGAGAAATGCGTTTTGATGGTGGAAAGGGGAGGGGCAGTGATAATTGAGCGTTGACCAAAATAACACCAAAAACAAAAATCTGAATTCTTAATTTGAAAAGGGTCTAATTCTAATCCTATCCCTCTACTTTTCCAATATAAAATTAACGGGAACTTTTACTGTACGACACATTTAATATACAGTTAAAAAAATGAACTACCGATTTTGTTATTATTTAAATAATAAAATCAGTAAAAAATTACCGGAAACATTATTATATATACCAGTTTTGTTATTATTGAACATTTTACCGGATTTTTTTAACAAAACCGATAAATCGCTACTGGTTTTGTTATTTTTTTACCAGTTTTGTTATTGTTGGGCATTTTACTATTTAAAAATATTGATGTTTTAGATAGAAATAATAATATTATTTAAATAATAATAAAACCAATATCATCTTTTTTTAATTGTATATTAAGACGTCGCACGTGATCATTTCTCAAATTTAAACCCTATACTCTGATATAACATTATTTAACTAAGAATCTGTTAAGTTACCTCCATAGTAAAAAATAATGTTATTCTTTATATAGAATGTGAGTTTGAATAATTTTTTTTGGATAAGTGAGTTTGAATAATTATATTTATAAGGGATGCATATTAAGTACAATTATGAATATATATTATATTGTATTCTAAGAAATTATTAAAAGAGTATTATTAACTATTTCAATAATTAAAATTTATTTTAATAACAAAAATTCAAAATAAATTATTATAATTATAATTAAAATTTATATTTTATTTTATTTTATAAAACTTTTGATTCGTATTATAAGACTACTCAGTGGATATCTTACATGAATTTCCTTTTTAGTCCCGACGTACTTTGATGTTTACTTCTACACAATTTGAGTCAACTGATCCGAAATTTCTTGCAACCTTCCTAAGGATAGTATCGACTTTTACACAATTTTGTTCAACGCTGATGTTATCTTATTTATCGTACCAGCGGATGGAGGTACTATTTTTACTCTGATGCAGGTACGTATTGATACCGGTATTGACCGAGACACTCTGAAATCACCGACCGAAACAAAACTTAAGTCTTTTAGCAATGTTTCAAATCACGGTCGTGGTCGTGTTTTCGGTCAATTTTGGGTTTACCATGATTGTGGCCGTCGCGAGCGCTATTGAAACCGTCGCGAGCACTATTGGGCGCTATTGTTAGTATAGCGGGTAATTCGGACAGCGACTAAACCACTATTTCGCGGACAAAATCACGTTTTCAAACCGTGATTTGAAACCCTACTTTTTAATACCGGTTTACGACAGATACTGTACCGACTACCATGCATCTCATTCGAAAGCATCAACACATTCAGCCTTGGCTACTTGGTTTACACCAAGGCTACAAGTTAGTTACATTTAGCAAGGGAAAAATAGTTTACCTAGGAAGAAAACTGTTGCATCCTTGGAGCACCCGATGGCAGCCTTCTTCCCCGCTTTCGGATTTAAGTTATCGTTCCGGGAGGAGTAGCTGATGCAGGAGAGCGGTTCTAATGAAACGGATTTAAATTGGGGTGTGACACATACCATGATGCCTACATACCTATGTATGTATGTTTTAGCTTAGCATATTCATATGCTAGCAAATATGTTTTAGGTATGTTCATTAGAGGATGCATGTAGTGTAGTTTGGTTATTAGTGTGGCACTGAGCTTGTGAGCTCAATGTTCAGAATTTGTTTTCGTGCGCAGTTTAATAGCAGAAGCATTGAAGGAGTCACCGCCTGAACCATTTAGCACCAGCCGCCATCTTTTGAGTATCTCTTGGTTTATGTATTAGTGGGCATGAATTGTAAATGAACCAGTGTATGTCGAGTCGAATTGATGTGTAAAATATTTTGTAAACTTTAAATTCAAATCAGTTGGGGGCTCCCGTATTTGTAAACAAGTTTAATACTTATTTTGATATGTATGTCATTATGTGGATTTATAGGGATGTTTATGTCGTTTTTTAAAAAGAAAAAATTTTGGTTATCCACTCCGATGACCGTCAATCTTCGGGACATACTGGAATTGGATGTTACAAGGATCTGCATATTATTTTGTATATCAAGCAAATTATGATGTATATCCTCCGTATCATGCTTCAATGGAGAGCCGACCAGAATGAAATGTAGTGCAACTCTCAACCACCTTCGAAAGAAGATACGAGTTCATGGGATCTATTTCTATATGCTCAATCATTTAATAATTTTGATATTCATTTTGAGTCAATGACTCTAATGATGGCGTCAAATACTTTAAATATTCAATCATTATCACCCGAAGGTGCAAATCAAAGTGGTGGACTAATGTACAATACACCAGTTCAACAATAAACAAACATTGAAGAACATGATAAAGGCGAAGGCGATGATAGACGTTCACAAAGAAATCGACGAGTTTAACCATTTCTCGATATCGTCAACAATTAAGAAAATATAAATAAATTTTATTATTATTAGTGATTGTATTTAGTAAAATAAATTTTAATTATTAGTTTCTAATAAAATATTTACAAAATAAATTAAATTATTAATTTTCTTAAATTTTAATATTTATTTTTAATTATTACTTAAGTAATATTTTAGATGATATAAACATGAAAATAAATTTATTCTTTTTAAATTCATGAAACTCGTCATGTTCACATGGTGAGTTCCAGTTAGATTTAAAAATTTTCGTTTGTTGCCCAATTTTCACTTAACGGCTACACTTTTTAAATTCAAATGGAACTCGTCATATTAACATGACAAATCCCATGAATTTAAAAATAATATATAATTATTTTATATTATTTTAAATTAAAAAATATTTTTTTAATGAAACCCAGCATGTGAACGTGACGAGTCCAAGAAATAAATTAAACAGTTAGCCTCCACTAGGCCCGCAGACCTGATCCCATTAAAAAAATAATATCTGAGTGAAGTATGTGGGCTTGACAAATTCACCCTACACCGTAACAAATTCATTTCTCAAAATAATATTTGGACTGGCCTATTGGACCAAATAATTAGTTCACTTAGATTATTGGCCCAATATTGCCATAAGATTGTAATTGATAAAAATTAATGAGAATAAAACAGACATATGAAAATAATTGAAACGATAAGATTGTAACTTATAAAAATGATAATGAGAATTGAATAGACATTTGAATAACAATTGAACCGATAAGGTTGTAATCGGTTAAGAAAAAAAAAAGGTTATGAGAACGACATCGTAAAATAAGTAAACGTCCGATACAATTTACCTCATCCATGTACAATTATTGTTCAATAACTAATATGACAACGCTCATGAAAACCTCTATTTCTGATCCCCATGGATCTTCTAACATGGATTTAAAGAGTGACCATCATTTGAAATTAGGTCTAATTATTGTCACAAATTTAACCTGTTGAATAGAATGAAACGATGTAAAAGAAAAACGCAGTAGAAAAGGCCGAGAAAACCCATTACAGGACTACTTGCATTTAAAATGCTGCAGATGCATTGATCTGCTGCACCTTTCATTTTTAAGCAACAAAGGGAACATCTACAAAGAAAACAAAAAACATTAACCTGTTTTTTTATTATTATTTAAATCACTGATTAACTTCTTTCGAGCCCGAAAGTTTAGCAGCACTGCTTGAACAAGATCCTTCCGAGCCAATAGATCCTGCCGGCTTCTTCGTATCGGGATTATCAAGGCTGTTTGTTACGGATGTTGAGGAAAGTATAGCAGTGAAACTCATGGTGGCGATGCCGGAGGCAATGGCGCTATCGTCTCTAGTTCCGCTGTATAGACCCCTGCTTCCTGTAACAAGGAAACCTTTTTTCTCGTTAGTAGTAGTCGGAACTGCTGGTAGTACATCAATTAATGGAGGGTTGCTTTGAGTTGAGTTGCTGATGAGTAGCCGGAGTGTTTCTCTTGCACCTTTCTCCACCACGGAATCGGTGGTATCGGGTAATAATGGGTTCACAAGGTTTGGATGCAATGGAGAGATAGTTGTTGATATGGTAGTACCAGCACTAACCAAGTAGCCTTGTCCTGAAGAGCAAACATCAATGACCGGAATATGAACAATGGGGTCACAAATCAAAGGTGTGAAGGTCGGAATTTGCTGTGAACTTGCCAGGGGCAGTCGGATGAACGGTTCTGGGAGGAAAGCTGGAAAATCGAGCAAGGGAACATCGGCAAGACCAAGAGGAAGAGTTGGTTTCAATGGGCTGGAGGCAACATTTGTTGGCAATATTGACGAAAGTGGTGGAAGCTTAAAAGATCCGATTGATGAGGCAGGGAGTTGAGAGGCAGCTGAGTGTTGTACAGTCGATGATCCTGGCGGGCACCAACAATAGTAAGGAGAAAAGAGAGAGCCTAAGTTGGAAACTTGAGAAACACTGCTCGGAGTTGGATGAACAGTAAATTTTCCAAGTGATTCCAGGAAATTTGGAGTGATTGAACAGCTACTGCCACGGGGATGATTGTCATTTTCAGCTTGACTGCAATTCAACGAAATGTTTGTAATAGGTGAAGCAAATGTAAGGCTCTCAGCTACCGGAAGATGGTTATCTCCACGCCTTCGCAACTTATCCCTGGCAATGCTCCTCGGAAAAGATACGTTTCGGGTCAAACCCTCTTTGAAAGAGCTTGATCTTGGACTTAAGCTACCTTGATAAAGTGCATTCACCTTGAGTGCTTGACTGCTAGAGTATCGGGATCGCAAAGATTTTGATCCAGTTGACGAAGATTGCCCATTCTGCACACTGGGTGAAGGTGAACTAGAACAACTTGATTGAATATTCACTGTTGTTCCCAGTAGATAAGAATGGAGCTGAGTTGCGAAACAGCCTAGTCTTGACTCGCTGATTCCAGTTAATTCAGCTATGGATGGTTTTCTCCTGATCAGATCCTTCATCTATTAAAGAAAAAACTCAATATTAGATCGAAATGGCTTCATAAACAAAGAAATTTGCACAGAACTG